AGGACAAGTTAGCTGGATAACACTTTTTCTCAGTGATTATTATTAAATAGTACTATATAGGACGAAATGCGCAACCTAGACTCCCCTGCTAGTCACTATCTGTGATAACCATATCTAAGATCATAATATCTGTGATACGACAAAAAGTGACACTTCATGTATATTACTGAACTGCATAGCGTATAAAGATCTAGAACTGGACATCTATCAATAAAAGTATATTCTGGTCAGCATTCAGACCTCGTAGCTCAGTTAGTAGAGCAGAGGGCCGGTAACCTGGCGATTGCTGGTTCGAATCCGGTAGCGGTTCAGATTTTCATCTCACCTTCAATCATCATCCAGTACAAAAGTATATTTTAAAAAAACCACTGGTAAATTCATACCACATATCTATACTACTACTGATTAGAGTGATCTAACCACCGGATGGTCGCTTCGCTCGCTTGGGATTGAGTCAGTTCATTAGTAGTATACATGGACAAATTCATTTCATAGATCACCTAGAATCTGGCTAACTGACTTGCATGGACTGATATACTTCATATAAGATGATCAGTCTGCAAATGATTTACAAATTCCACGATCCACTATGACATTTCTTACTTTTCCAAAAAGGTTTCCGTTGGAAACTACTCAAGTTGTTTAGTAGTAGTATGTTTTGTTAGTTCATGATACTTTTGTTTCAGAGATCATACCTAAACGATCTTGACTGTGACGGTTGTTTTCAATGGAAAGCTTATTGACACCACAATTGTCTGACAGTTGAGAAACTAATCAGCTGTTAAAAATGTCGAGATGAACCATTCAATTTATATATTATTTGCAAATTGATCATCCTTTTGAATTTATACTAACATATATATATATATATATATATATATATATATATATATATATATATATATATATATATAGAATATTCAGAGGAATAACCTTTACACTTCAACATCAAGAACACTGTTATTTCTAACTCATAAAACCTCGAGTAATATCACTTGTTTACAGCTGACCCACCCAGGTGAATGGATATTGTAAACGAGGACCATAAACTTTTAAAATACTTATTGGTAACAATAGTATTTAACTGACAGTCAAAGGAACATATTAAGATATTCACGCTGGATATCAGAAATAAGATTCAGTTGGTATTAAATTTCTTCACCTATTTAACTTCACTGTAAACTTCTAATGACTTGTAAGTGTCAAATGATAGCTTATTATAGCTAAAGCATTTAACTTCCAAACAGTGGATCCAGAGTTTAAACCCTTTACTTCACATAAAACAATCTGAAAAACTGGACAGCATCATAAGTCTCATTAGAAAAAAAACAACATGCAACTCATAGCTTAGTACATAAAACATGTACCGAGTTGAGTAATAGATAGAAACAGACAAGAAAATATCAACATGAGACTTGGAATGGCTGAGTAACGGTTCAAGTCACTACACCTTATATTAGCTTATCTAGGTAGAAGGCAACAAGATGAAAGATGAAGAAATAAAGAATGCAATCAAAAGGTAGTATTCATTATAGTTTCAGTTGAAGAACCATTGAAAAACCTGGGAGCATTGGACAGTCGTTGCTGTATAATGCTTATTCTAATGAGAAGTCTTGACCTGTTGTATCAACCAGTCAGAAGTGAACTAGATACTAACTGAAGACTTTAGATGATAGTCGCATTATGTCACAAAATGACAGAAGTAGGAAACTGTGAAACATTGAATTCGGATTCATCATCATTATCAACATAGGACCAGGCATTACTGCATAACGGTCCCACTTGTCACACCTCATATCACTACATCAAGTAAAAAGGTAGTGAAATGAAGGATGAAGATAAGTGAATGCAGTCAAATGAGATATAAAGTACGAGAAGAAAGGAAAGAGAAGTGACAAAATGGTGAGATTCGGTATAGCGTTGTTAACATGAGGATAATGTGTGTGAGGATACATCTACGCCACTCACTTCGGTTCTCAGCCATATCACCTAGGGTCTCCAACCACTGGTTCCTCTTGTCCCACCCACCCCAACCACCTAGTCTGCACTGCCCCACATGGCCTAAACCAACAGTCACAGACTTCATACATTGGTGCCATGTTTTAGTCTGGCCGCCTCTTTTCTGCCTTTTTCCAGCCTGGATCCACCTCAGCCAACATTATGTGACAAGGCAATCGGTGACTAGGCATACGTAGTACGTGTCCCAACCATCTCAGTCGATGAAGGTTCACAACCTCGTCAACGGATTCAGCGGCTAAATGGTTAACGCGCGGGCCATGAAACCTGAACGTCCTGACTTCTATCCTTAGCCAGGTCTCGGTTTCGTACTGCTAAGCAGTCCCATATTAGGACGAAACAGCTGTTCAGTACTCTCAGGTTTTCTATGCTTCGCTAAATAATGTCAGTCTGTGATGTACACTACCTTATAAATCGTTTCCATATTAATTTGTTATTTTGTTTGGATATTACTCTTATATACACAAATTTAATCACAAATACTAATTGTGATAGAGTTGTCAAGATCTACATGTTAAGTGAAATCTATCAATCAAGTTTCTAACATGATCCATAAGCTAATTAGTCATCACCACATTGAAGTTGTAATGTGTTCAGCAATTTTGTCTACATTCTTGCACTAGATAAACCTAGATAGATGGAGCAGTGTTCTTACACGTAACTCTGAGCAGAGTTTATACTTCATAGAACCAATGTAGTTAGTTGTATCACTTCGAGATTTTAGTACTAAAACTAATCAGGTTACAATTGACCTCATTATGCAAGATTGGATGGATTGTTTACATGAATAAAATATCGGATATTGATCAATGATAACACTCTAAAAACAAAAAGAAACTCTAAGAAATGTTGTAAATGGATCTAAATCTTTCTGTTAACTACCTACCTTTAAACATATTAAATCATATTAATTATCCTACGGTATCCATTTGTTTTTTTCCTATTCCTCTTATCTAACTAAATGTTACATGAAAACGTTTTGTTAACTTGTCAAAAATAAGATTTGTTATGTAACTACGCTTGACAAAATTATACAACATATAAGTAAATAAATAATAGACAGATGAAAAACCATACTTTAAACAAACAAACAAACAATCAGAGAGAAACGATAGAATAGTGTAGGGATTCGAATATACAAAAGTGAATCAGTTCACTTCGATACAATTTACAATATACCATATAACATTGAAAAAAACGGGAAAGATATTCAAGTAGATATAGAAAAAACAAAAGCACAGTTAAAAGATTATAGTTAGTAACTTAAAAAATCCTGATATCTTTTATAAATAAATAAAAGTAGATTAAAACAAATTCAATGTTTCAATTGACGATAATAGTATGATCAGGTTTTATTTATCCCTCCAACTGATGTCAGTCTACGCTGAATAACAACTTGAAATATTTCCAAATACCCATAACTCCCTCAAAATTCAATTGAACTGGTGTTCATTGGTGACTAGCTTCAACAGGTATTCCCAAAGTTACAATCAAAAGTCGTGACCGGTGGGACCAAAGCCTGATGGCAGTTACTCAACGATGATATTGGGTGGTGGTTGAGCTATATGGTGAGCTAACACAAGTTGGAAATATGGATGATTGGATTGTGACCCAGTGGCCAGCTCAATGGTAACCTGAAGGTTGCGGGTTTGATCCCTGAAAGGCGGCATCGTGGGTGCTCATCGCTGAGGAGTTGCACACTAGGATGAAACAGCTGGCTGTCCAGTGCTCCCAGGTTTCCTTTCTTCCTCCAACTGATGTCAGTTTACAATGAATAACAACTTGAAATATATCATTTAAGGTTTCTACTACAAGTGATTTTCGAACAAACAACAGAATGTACTTAGTAACAATAAGCATGTTTTTCCAATAGGCAATGAATTACACCTATTATGTTAGGGTGAATGAAACTACCTGGTTGCCAAAACCTCGATAGGTAGGGTTACGCTCTGAATCTGTAATGCATCGGTTGACAATCAACTGTCTTAATTAATAAGCTACAGCTTCATAACTCATTCAACGCGATAGTCATATTCAGGTTTGTACACTGCAACAGTGACCACTGTGTTATGTTAAATTAGGTTAAGTCCAGTTATTCAAGTGTTTTACACCAATTTTCGACTCAGCTCCAAGTTCCAAAACCTTGTAAATCAGTCCCCTCATCAAGCAGAAAACAATATAGTGAACGAACACGCATGCAAGAACATTTTCCCAACAAGCGCTCGAACTGACTAGTGTTATCCCAGAACCCCTCTAACAGTCAGATTTCAATGCATCCACTATTACTGCTTAATGGGTTTATTGATCGCACTCACCTCCCCGTTGGCAGTCATGCGTGGGATACTTCTCACTCACTTTCTACAACCTTGCAGAAGGGATGCAGATCACCCTCCCCCTAAGACTATTCCCCTTTCATCAACTTCAAAGGTTCAATATCACTCACCTTCACAACGGAAAATACACCCACCTCTTTAGATCACTTCAACATCATTGACTACCAGGAAGCTAGATTCTCTAACCTTTCAGTTTCACTGCTCCAAGGTCACTAGATATAGTCCTGATGGCTAGTTAGATCGCCCGCGCTTTGGACGCCACCACCACTGATCTGTGCATGTAGAACTTGTCGACTGGGGTTACCGCCAAGTCAATCTTGACGGTGTATTGCTTCATATCTAGCGAGGTCACAGGGAGAGGTTCACCGTCGTCACATAACTACGCTCGACCCGTAATCACTGGTGCACATACCATCTACGGTATTTCAGGCCACTTAACAGCACCAAATAAACCTTCTTCGCATCGACACCCTGGCGTGTAACTATGGCGGAGGCATTTGCCTACCCTAAGAGAGTCATAGTTACCTGAAGACCAATCAACTCAACTTCAAGTAGGTAGGCAGGCTAAATCTACCACATGTCTCATCGGCTGAACACTAAATAGACAATAATAAATAAATATACAAACAGCAATTACAACTTGATACTTACCTTCTTGGCATAATTAAGTGTAAACGACGCCATAACAATTCTAGGGAATGCGTAAACTTTCGATTCACACTTAAATATCCACAATTTGCTCGTAATAATAATAATCGTGGGCATTGTTCAGCTAAAACTGTACCAAAATTTAATAAACAGTCTAAACCGAATAATTCCATTGATTGTATTAATCGATTAATCATGGAGATAAGCTTTTTCCATAGTGAACATGTTTCAGACAGATCTTTTAGTGTAGATGGTTCATTGGAACATGAAACTTGTGATATGACTTGTTCAAATGCTGAAATAAATAAAAAATTATTTTGAATGAATGAATGAATGAGTGACAAGAGAATGAACACAGAAAATTAAACTGTAATGAAACATTATTCAATAGATTGTCTGATGAATATACAAGTACAAACAACTTGAAAGTACCAGACAATAAATAAATCAGCTCCTAGATATGATCTAGCAATCATTATGAATCGGAAACCAATCAAACTCTATATATCTCTCTTTCGGCAACCCCGTGCATGTTCATACACCAAGCGATGAGATATGCCTATTTTGTGATGATTGATAATACCACCTAGATGCATAAACTTTGGTAGATGGGGCAGAGTTCGAACACATGATCTACTCAATTGAAAGTCAACTACCTACAGTATGTATTTACCAAACAATTTTAGTTGTTTGGTTGTTAGATTGAGTTATTCAAAATATGATCGCCACATATCCACCTTTCAGGATACAGGGATTCACTTCGAAGTGATCATCCAGTGTTAAGCAGTTTGATGAGCACTTTCGATTGAAGCTAGAAATCTATGGCTACTCATGATCAACTATTAGTTAGTAATGAACAGCTTACAAGTTTAAAACCTGTTAGTAATATGAGTCGAAATCGGTCACAATGGCAAAGATGTATACGCTTTAGGTCATTTTAAAAAGTCATTGACATTAACCTTTTCGATTCAGTTTTCTCTTACATGCTATTGTGAAGTGTGTAGCAAACTGAAACAATGCTCTTCCGTATCATGTTCTACGTTGATTTACCTGCCTGTCTATCTGTCTCTTGGTTAACAGTGTCAAAGAAATCACCGGATATTGTAGTGTGAATATATCTACTTTCAAAGAAAACCCAAAGTAAGATATCACACATCGACGTCTCATTTGACTGTATCACTTTTTCATAACCAAATAATGGTAGGACAAGTTTCCCAGACAAACAGCATTTAACATATCTTGATCAACTATTCTATACTGCTACAAGTAATATGGTGTACAAAACTTGCGAACAATCAGTTTGTCAGTAGAGTTGAAGGTTGAATGATGGTCTCATTAAAATCCAATATATCATCGACAAATGTCTATGGTAATCATAGTGAACTTCAACATACATAATAGGCATAAAAATCAACACGATAAACAGGAATGATAGGTGACTGCAGCTCATTTGAACAAGTCTACTGACTCTGTTTCTATGCTCCTTAACTGTTGACCAACGCAGCTTTCTTTGTCACGGAAATTTACAGATTGTTTACTCAGATATTTAAAGTAAGAGGGAAGTATTCTTCTTGAAAATCCTGTTTTGTAAAAACTTATTTACATACATATTATAGAGACCTGCTTAAACTTTGGGCCACGAAACATTTTCCACTGAATGAATTTCACTAAATTGTTCTCCGTCAATTTTTTTTATTTCTTCAAATATAACATCCAAACGTAACGTGTACTGGTGCTCATTGGTGACTAGCTTCAACAGGTATTCCCAAAGTTACAATCAGAAGTCGTGACCGGTGGGACCAAAGCCTGACGGCAGTTACTCAACGGTGATATTGGGTGCTGGTTGAGCTATATGGTGAGCTAACAGAAGTTGGAAATATGGAGCATTGGATTCTGACCGAGTGGCTAGCTTAATGGTAACGTGCTGGCCACGGAACCTGGAGGTAGCGGTTCGATCCCTGGAGGGCGGCATCGTGGGTGCGCACCGCTGAGGAGTCCCATACTAGGACGAAACAGCTGGCTGTCCAGTGCTCCCAGGTTTCCTTTGTTCCTCCGAATGATGTCAGTCTACGATGAATAAAAACTTGAAGTACCGTGCACTCTCACCTAGTTCTAATCAAACAGCCATTTTTAAGGTTTGGACATGCGTTGCATATGCCGAGTCTCAGCCTATCCAGACGTGCCATGCTAGGAAAAGCTAGATTAGGTTGAAAAAAGGTTCAGGATAACAAGACCAAGACACCAATGGTACCATACGATGAAGTACTTGACTGTTAATCTCAGCCGTATTGGGACATGTAGACTACTTGGTTGGGGGCGCCCGAGACACTGCTGAAAATCGGTGACAATGGTGCAAACGTATTCACTCCTTAACATCTTCTAAGACTTGAATATTCGTATTGACGTCAATCATTAAACAGTTTATTATCTCATACAACTTTCTAACTTCACATCACTCTTATTCTATCCATCTGTTCTTTTTGTATACTACTACTGTGAAGTGTGGCAACTTGAACTGATGTACTTGTGTATGATGTTCTACGTTAATTCTGTCTGTCCGTGAATGAATTACAGATTTTTATACGGGTTGAATAAACTACCACCACCAAAACTGTATTCGCCTTTTTTTTATTCATTCCCCAGTCCAAAACAGACGCTACTTCACATTATTGCTTTTAACATTATTGAAATCGTTTTTGAGATATGTCACTTAGAGTCTTTAACCACGGATTTCCAGTGATACATGTAGACACAGAACTGGGAAATCTATACAGACTTTCACAGCTCAGACCAACAATTCAGATAGATATATTTGACAGACAGGTGGCATATTTCAGTCTGGAAAACTTAAGTCTCTTTCCAGCCTTAACGTAATTCCATCACAACACAATAACTAACAGTATACTATGCACACCGAGACTTGGTTGACATTGATACGAGTAAGAATACTACCACCGTACGTATTTTTTATCGTTGAAGACCAGTACTAAGGCCTAGTGCCCTTGACCTCACCTTAACATTGCTGATACGGTGATTCCACCAAATGCGAGCAAGGCTATTAAGTCGCCTGTGATGAAAACCCTGTGACCACTTCATATCCTCTACTTTTAACAGCCATTTCCACATTCGTATAACAGGACTGCAGCGCAATATACTGGTCCTTTGATAAATAGTCGGATATCTCACAAGTCGGCACCACAGGTGATGTAAATTGGAAGATGTAAAACTAACCTTCTATATCTGAGCTGGGCGACATATTCCACCACTTCACTCCCTATCAGTAAACTAGGAGTCGTTGTAGACCAGTCCTGGAGCATCATCTTACATTTAACAGGTGCCAAGAGAAACGTATGCCAAACATACTCAGATTTCTGCTCAACGCATAAACAAGACCCTGAGTTTTATCAGCATCTTCACCCAGCAAGACACCATCGTCTGTATGCTTCAAGTCAATCAAATGACTTCCAGGGAATAGATCAACCCGTGTAAAGTCATAAGTACCTAAGCTTAAGTCTGTCTGTTAGGATGTCTATGACGAACGACGGGCTTTGATTAGCGTTATATACTTTCTCAGTATCCCCTTCACAGTCAGACACTATCACAACACCTCACGATCAACAGAGTCAAAAACCGCCTTCAGGTCGAGAAATATGGCAAGTGTCGATCGTCAATAAGTATGTCTGTGTTACAGAACCCGTGGAAACGTAAGGCAACTTTTGGCATACTAGTACTACTTTAGTGATTAAGTTGGAATATAATTTGATCTAGTCTTTTCACATTTCACTTCCAACACCTGATGTTATTTGCATATACTACAGTAATTCTAGCAACTCTTTACCGTCAGCACAAACACTAAACTGATGTTTCAAGTTGTTATTCATCGTAGACTGACATCAGTTGGAGAAACGAAGGAAACCTGGGAGCACTGGACAACTGTTTCGATGAATAACAACTTGGTTTAGTCCCGGAAACATGGGGGGTTGCTATGGAAAATGAAATGGTGTTCGGGTAGTAACGCGCTGGTCGCGGAACCTGGACGTCGCGGGTTCGATCCCTGCTGGGGGGGGGGGCCCGGAAACCTGCTCCCAGGTTTCCTTTGTTCCTCCGAATGATGTCAGTCTTCGATGAATAACAACTTGAAATATTTCCAAATCTCTACAACTCCCTCAAAATTCAACTAAACTGATGATTTCTCTCGGTTAATTCTGAAGACATTTATACGTTCCAGGAAGATTACGACATACACGAACACACACACACACGAATAAATGATCAGTTTATTTGTGTGAAAAATGTTACCTACAATAAACGTTTATAGCCATATAGATTAGTAAATAAATCACTGGTGAAGAATATAGGAATGTAGACCTTGAAAACTACATGTCAAAACTCTCTCTCTCTCTCTCTCTCTCTCTCTCTCTCTATATATATATATATATATATATATATATATATATATATATATCATGTTAAAACAAAGTAAACTGCATATCAAGTAACAAAATTTGTTCAGTATGACACAGAAAACGAAAATAACCATTAGTGATCATTGAAATATGTTTGATCATGTACGACAAGACAGACTAAAGTTCAGGCATAGTGACTACCTTGACCTTATACGACAAACAAACAAAAAAATGTTTTGTTTGAGATGAATGGGGATTTTTAATTTAGAAGTAGTATTCATCATGGACTGACATCAGTTGGGGAACCATTGAAAATCTGGGAGCACTGGACAGCTGTTTCGTCCTAGTATGGGACTCCTCAGCAGTACGCATACTAGGACGAAACAACTGTCCAGTGCTCTCAGATTTTCAATGGTTCCCTAACTGATGTCAGTCCATGATGAATACTACTTTTAAAAAAATGTTTATTAGCTTTACTACCGCAAAGTGTTTTGAACGCATATTTATCTGTTCATTGAAAGCCAACTAGGAAACTTTGCATACATGCATACACAGATAATAATAATAATAATAATAGTAAGGAGGAAATATGATATATGAAGATAGTTCTGAGAAATAACTAGTCTATGCAGCAAGGCAGTGGGCCTGAAAAATATGGCTATGTAAGGTGAATTTTTTCTTGTGAACACACCGTGATGAGCACAACTTCAAACCAACAAGAAATGGTGAAGTCAGTGTTTCGATCACTATAATCTGGCTTCCTGCCAAAAGCTATTAGGTAGTTTTCAACGTTAACTCTTTTGACACAACAGTTGATCGACAATTGAGAAAATAACTATTCAGCTATGAGAAATGTCAACATGGACCATGGAATTTGTAAATAATTTTG